TGTAGAACGACATAGAAACATATGCGGAATAATTTTCAAATGTTGTTCTACACTCTTTCTATATTCACTATTATTCAGAAGAATGAGGCGAAAGAGCTATTAAACAATTTTAAAAAGGTTTCTGGAGATTTGTTTTCTTTATTTTAAAACCGTCTCAAAGTTTCGGGCATCTCTGTCCTTCTACTGGAGAACTTATATATATAATGAATAAAACGCCGCCTGATGTTAAACTATTATATATAATAGATTCCAATCGATCCCTTGTAGATCTCATGGAATAAAGTCCGTCCTAAGCTGACGAGGGCCATTAGCCCGAAACCATGGTCTCTAGGTGGACACTTCTCAGTTTTCCAAAGCTGGTGTTGTAGCTTTGTAACCGACTCGAGACCGCTAGTTTACGGTCGATAGATGGCGTCAATAGAAGGGCAGAGATATCCGAAATCTTGAGACGGGTTTAAAATAAAAGAATCTCATCTCCGGAAAACCTTTTTAATTGTTTAATTAATGTTCAGGAGATTTAAATCAATTGGTGCGAAAGAGCTATTACTCATTTTGTTTCTTTTATATCTTAACTCCCATATTTACTTTAAAATATATACCAAAAAGTTACTGAGAGTTATTAAAATATATAATATAAAAGATATATTAAAATATCATTGGAATATATAAGCATAGGGCGTTTCTCCCGTCAAAATAAACGTCAAAACTAGACGCCATCTAGACCGTCGCCGCAACTAGCGACCTCAGGTCGGTAACAAAGCCACAACACCAGCTTTGGAAAACTGAGAAGCGTCCAACTAGAGACCATGGATTCAGGATAATGGACCTCGTCAGGCTAGGACGGACTTTATTCCATGAAATCCATACAGGATCCAATGGAATCTTCACAATCTGCCAAAGAGGTGTTTAGCTGGTAATGTGGCTAGGCCAAATCTATAGCCAAAATATAGATGTAAATTTTTCCGGGAGGAATAAATATATAAATATGAAACATACTGAAGCATCAGGTAGTCGCATATCACATACGACAGAACCTTTCAAGAATAAGTAAACTTATAACCATGTGTCGATATATTCAAATCAAACTCTATATTCGCTTCACTTATAATTCCCATTACAAATAAGGAGATCAAGTGTTAGATGTCTATAAAGCAAGAAATATACCAGCCTGATATCAAAACAATTTATCAACACAATTCTAAACTAAATATGTTTTCAAAAGTACAATTCAATATGACAGTAAATAAAAATATGATTAATTTTACCAAAAACAAACAAAAAGAAAAAAAAAAACAGAAATTTCTAGAACTTGCAATCTTTTATATGGAATTTCGATGGTTAATGTGAGTGTGTTTCAGAACTGAAGAAATAAAAAAGCTGATTGGCTAAATAATTCAACGTTTATCATCTTATTAATGTCACGTGACAGTGAACATTCAATCAGATTCAATTATTTCTATATCCCGTGACCTTAACCAACCAATTAAAGCGCGAACAAAACGGGTACTATATATATTTACATATAAGTAAGTTTAAAAAGGCATCTCCTGACCACGAGCACATGAGTTTTTTAGATGGCAGAGCGTCATCTAGTGGAACAGAAATCGACTAAACGTTGATTTAGCTTGTTCCCTGATATTTGGCCAACCCATTTTCTTGATAAATCAAGAAATGGCAAAAAGCAAATAACTTCTCTTGATATCAAGAAAATGGGTCGGCCAAATATCAGGAAACAGGCTAAATCAACATATAGTTGATTTCTGTTCCACTAGATGGCGCTCTGCCATCTAAATAAACATATGTGTTCCTGGTCAGGGTATACCCTTTTTATTTTAAATAATAACACCTGATATTTTTCATATAATTAAGGGTATATTATAGTGTTGAGATATATTCATTGGCCTTGTAGAACGAGAGTGGTGTACGCGTGCTCGTAGTTTTAGTAAAAAAAACACAAACATCCTCGATAAAGAGAGGCGAGTTGCCCCTCAAAATATTGGAACAATAGAATAATTATAAATCCAATATATGCATATTTTTTGAATATATATATAAAATAAAAATTATAAAATGACACTGCCCCAATAAAATTAAGGATTACTAGGCAAAGTGTGATTGGATAGAGAATTCAACACCAATTTAATTAGTTAAGTAAGTTACTTTTCCTCCTCCTTCCTATTCAAACATTCCTCTGAAATCCAATTTGATAAAATTACATTTTTTTGTCAACTTTAATCAACTTGACACAGTATTTAAATCCATTTTTGTCCCAATTGAAAACGTAAAAACTTTATTCGAATTAATTTTTTTAATGAGGAAATACTCGAGAGAGTAGGTTGGTAAAACTAGTTAATAAATTTAGATAATTATAAAGTTGTTTTATGGTATTCTATATGCTAATTTTTAGCGTTTTTTATAAATTAAATATTCTTTGAATATTAAAGAGGATTTTTTTTATATTCTACAAAAAAAAAATCGAAAATAAATTGGGGAGAGAGAGAAAATAACTTTATTAAATTATTTTTTTAAAACTTTAAATAGAATATATATGCAAGAATATGTATAATGTTATAAAATAAAAGAAACTTAATTACTACTTTAAAATATTAAAAAAAAATTACTGTTAATATATAGTGTCAGTTTATAAAGGTTAAATCTCGAAAAATTAAGTCATGTTTATATCATGTTTACACTCATGTTCATATATATATGAAAAAACAATATAAAAAAATAACAGCGCGAAACGCGTTCGTGGATGGATTTTCTTATTTATCAAGAAATTGGGTTGGCCAAATATCAGGGAACAGGCTAAATCAATGTTTAGTTGATTTCTGTTCCACAACATGGTGCTCTGCCTTCTGTTTTATTATTTCTATTTATCTTTTATATTTATTTTTAATATATACATATATATATATATATTAAGAAAAAGGCATCTCCTTATCGTGCAACTGAAAGTTGCTAATGGCTTGCGCCATCTATCGGAATAAATATCAACTATTCTCGTTGATTTTTAATAATTCCAGAATTGGCCAAATACCCATTCTTGATTAATCAAGAAAAGCTAACCACGGACGCGTTTCGGGCTGTTGGCCCTCATCAGCGTGGTGCAAGCTGTACCTCAACGACAAAAAAAAATTGGTCATTAAGGCATCCTGAAAAATCAGGAAATGGGTAGTTAAGGCCAGAATTGCGTGAGAACGCTACACAATGTGAAATAATATATGTGAAATATTACATTTGTTATATATATATATATGTTACAAACTATGTAAATTTAAAATTATTTTTGAAAGTTAAAAGTGCAGTCGTTAAGAATATAATTTAAAAAAAGAAAATTAATCTCAAGAAGTTATTTTGTGAACTCTTGAGCAAAAGAATACATTAAATTTAAAGTAAATATAGAATTTAGCAATTATTCCTATATTACAATTTACATATTTATAAATATTATATCTAACTTAACCTAACCTACCCTAAAAAAACAATTCATTTATATATTTAAAGTGGCGCCATCTGGTGGCCAAATAATAACAGAGTTATTTTAGAAAGATGATTAAAATAAAATAATATTTACAAAGATTTATATTTATGACATTTCTATAAATTTTTAAAAATTATATAACATATATATATATATATATATATGTAAACTCGAAACTATTATAGACGCGTATGATTCTTTAAAAATTAAACCATTTCTACTGCTATTTATATTTAAAAGAATCATAGACGTCTATAATAGTTTCGAATATTCATAACAGATGGTGCGTTGAATCATAATATATATGTACTTATTGTCAAAACTTAAGTGAACAGTTTTTGATGTTTCCGGATTCTTTTTTAAGGAGACAAAGGCAATTTTGTTTATACTTGGTCATCTCGTGTGTCTTCAATAAAGGTCACTGTGTATCAAATATATTTCAGAGTTATTGTCTGGATCCCGATATACATGCTAAAAGGTACAACTTCCTTAAGTTTTTTTTTTTCATGACGGTATATTAATATTTTCTATACAAATTCTATCTACTTTTCAAAGATTTTAATTGACAAATTAGTGACATTTATTCAGTTCCTCTCATATATTTACATGCTCACTATTACCCTGTTGCAGCTTGTGTATGTTGATAAAGGTTGGCGTGCTCTCATAAGGAATTTTAGTAAATACTATTTAATCTAGTAAATGATTTGTTCTATATTTTGAAGATACAAATGAATATACAAGGTGTATAAACAATTTAGAGAGAAATATTCAGATTTTTAATATAAGAAAATTAGAGTGAAGGTAATTTTAATCTCCTTCAAAATATTTCTTTAAAAAATAGACATTTCGTCAGGAGAAATATATTTTAAAAATGTTTTTTTTTTTTGAAACGTTGAGAAAATAAAACATTAACTGGCCAAAGTGTCTATTTTAAAAAGAAATAAGAATATACCGGCCAGGCAACCTCTATCTTTACGATCCTTCAAAATAATTTACATCTATAATAATACATCAGATCCATATTTTCCCAAGAGTTCAATAAAGAATTCATAAAATATATTTTCTGACCTTGTATAGTTCTGTTGTTACATTTTGTTGGATTTCCTTAATATCTATTCTTCTTTCTTATCTTCACACTTAATCATATCAGGGTATCAAGCTTGTAGAACTTGAGAATTTTGATGATATTTGCTAGAGATGAAAAGAGCTCATCAATGGATGAGTCAATACAGTCAATGATTTAGTCATTGGTCAAATCAGTGGTTTAGGGTTGTATGTTGAGAATTTCACATAGTACAGAGTAGGAAAACCTTGCAACCATTCTGGAAATAGAATATCCATAGATGATCAGACTTTAGGTATTGTGAAACGAAATTTGAAATACTATCCCACATGTGTTTCTTTTCAATGAAAATTCAAAATTTATTTCAAGGAGAAATAACGATTATTTCTAACCTTTTGGATGAGGTATGAAAGGGGGAATTGTGAAGAGTAATGATAAACGGAAAAATAAAAGTGTCCATGGATGGGAATCGAACCCACAGTGTTCCGCTTACCGGGCAGATGCCATGTCCACTAGTCATTTATCATTACTCTTCACAATTCACCCTTTCATACCTCATCCAAAAGGTTAGAAATAATCGTTATTTCTCCTTGAAATAAATTTAGAATTTTCGTTGAAAAGAAACACATGCGGGATAGTATTTCAAATTTCGTTTTACAATCACAAGTCGCATTATATTATATTGTATTATAAAAGACTTCAAGTATGGAAATCAAGGACTACTGTTCCCTTGAAAAGACAGAATTGAAGCTTGTTCGTCCTACTCTGAACCATTTATATCTTATTGACTGATAACACAATTTCCTCTAAAATAATGATAACATAATTGAGAATGAAATAATACCTGACTTAAGATGTGAAGAGTAAACATAAGACTTATTTACATATCTACCAAACGATTTGAACCGGCCATAGGAAAACCTCAACAAAGAGTTTATAAAGGGAAAGCTGAGACATCTGGCGGTCAACTTTACAGAGTATTTTGTTCTATAAAATATATTTTGATATTGAATGAAATTTTTTACATAACATATATACACTTATATGGACAAAAAACAAGGAATTTTTATATTTTAATGCTACCGATCGTCCTTTTTTTGGAGACATAGGCAAATTTGTTGAAACTTGGTTAACTCGTGTGTTTTCATTAAAGATCACTGTGTATCAAATATCTTTCAGAGTTATTGTCTGAATTCAGATGTACATGCTAAAAAGTATTATAATCCATTAGCGCGCCATCTGTTATGAAAATTCGAAACTATTATAGACGCATATAATTCTTTTTAAAAATTAAACAATTGCTAAAAAGCACAACTTCCGTAAGTTATGTCCATGAGTATATATTTATGAAATATTAGTACAAATGTGATATTGTACTGGGATAAGGTGTATAAATTATGAAAAAGGCATCTCCTTATCGTGCAACTGAAAGTTGCTGATGGCTTGCGCCATCTATAGGAATAAATATCAGCTATTCTCGTTGATTATATATATATATATAGAGAGGCCATCTAAAAAAACATATGTGTTTTTGGTCAGGATATGCCTTCATTATTTTTAATATCAAAAAACACTTGACCTTTTTATTTATTTTTTCTATTGTGTATATATATGAAATAAGCTACCAAGTCATCTGTTTGGTTGATGACCCACATAAAAAAAAAGGCAATAAGGCTGAAGTGAGCGATCGGGACCTTCATAGTGTAAATTGGATTTTGGAACTTGCCACCTCGCATTAACTCTTTGGACTCCAGAAGTTCCATTTTGAAGGACTCATAAAAATAAGTATTCTTTGAAATATTATTGTGACATTTTTTGTTCTTTTTGACACGCCATTTTATAATTTTTATTTCAGTCACGCTTTGTTGTAATTATATTTGCAACTTTAACAGATGCACAGAGTTTGAAACAAAATTTGATGTTCGCTCTTTTCCCCCATTTGATTTAATAAAGAAGAACATTAAATCCTCTTAATATGTGAGCATTGGTTTACTATGAACTGAATTTTAAAACAATGATGGATATTCGAAACTATTATAGACGTGTATGATTCTTTTAAAAATTAATAAATTTCTACTGCCCTTACTGCAATAGAAAATTCAGGGTTCACCACAATTCGCGTCTATAATGGTTTCGAATTTTCATAGTCGAATATATATATATTTTCAATTAAAAAGGCATATCTTGGATCAAAATACCATTAATTTTTATAATATTATATGCCATTATATTATACCAATATATTCCTTCTTAATTAAAGATTTATTAATGGATTGCTCTACTTTCAAAATATATATATATATATTATAAATAAAAATATCTTCTGTTGATTTTTGATTACCTTGAGGATTATGCTATGTCAATGCAGTCGTGGTTGAATTTCGAAACTAATAATAATAAAATAGTGAAGAGATTAGAAATAGCTTTAATTGAGCTTATGGAATATAAAAAAAACATAATTTGAGAAAGATATGCCTGACTTAAGAATAAAAAAAGGAAAAACTTATTTACATAATGTACAAAAGGTTTGAGTCGGCAATCGGGAAACAACAACAATGAGGTTTTATAGGGGAAGCGTGACCTCTGGCGGTCGATTTAGCATTTGAATCTATGAAATATAATTTTAAATAAAATATTTATTCAATAAAACATATATATCGTTACATTAATTTTAATGCGCCTTACATTTATTTAAAATATTCTAAATTTAATATTTATTTAAAACAGAATATTTAGATTATCAACATTCCTTTTTATAGTTTCATTCCTTTTGTAATATTTATTGTACATATATCTTGATTGGTTATTGGAGCGAGAGAGGACCTAGAGGAAGACTGCGGATCACGACCTACGAGGAAGACAACGAATAAATAAACACAATAACTTCGTAAGGTAATTTATTTTTATTTACTTTTACTTTTATTTATTTGCTTTGAATTTGGAAACCCGCTCGGGAAACGTGTATAACACCAAGAAGGAAGAAACCAATGTCGAAGACCCTGCAACTTGGTGCAACAATATCGTATATTTTAAACTATATAATAATGACACTTTTAGTATATGTCACATATCTTCCAATTAATTAGAGCTTATACCTTATAAGATCCTACCCTTCTATTAAAATGTACTGTTTCTATTTACGACCACCCCATATATTGTATATGAACTATTTGTATTTAAACCCCTTATTTGTATTTAAACTAAAAATAGTGACGTCAAAATAAAGATCCAAAGAGTGGTCGGTCAGCTGGTGGCAGCTGGGGAAAGAGGAGGAAAATGCCAAAGCCCATGTGGGGCCATGTATAACCTATAGACGACCCCTGTAAACAGGACAGGTTTTAGCAGGGAATCGGCAGCGTGTGCTAGAGTGTGTCGATCGACAGACCGCTTCTGTCTCACGCGGTCTCTCGCTCCATGTCTCGGTGATAGGCATCCAAGTTTGTGTCATGGCCTCTACCTCTGTCCCGTGGGCTGTCCCCGATCCCTCTCGGTGCTAGCATCCAGCCCTGCCTCTGCTTCTTGTTGTCCGCGTGTGGGAAGAACATCAACACTCGCCCCACGTACACGACTGCCAGCTTATCCATACGTCGGCAGGATCACATTTGCAACAATATTACATATATATATGCATATTTCCGGGCGCAGGCGATTCATATCTCAATAACACTAAATACAAGTTTATTTTGAAACCAAAATGAGCATATAAATTTTAAACCCGACAACGACATAACAAAAGAACGTGACAAACATATACTTTAGCACTATTACCATTTTTATTTTCCGAAAAAAAAAACCGTTACAATTTGGCAATAAAACAACAGATGCGATTTATAAAGTCCATAAATATCCTCTTCCATGCTAAACAACACTCGACCGTTTCTTCAAACATTCACAACTTAACTTTGAATTTATTTAAATTTTAACGCTGTTCTATTTTTAAACTTGCAATATAAAATGGCATATTTAAATAATGATTTACATTCAGTAAGATTATTTATTCGCTACTAATTTAGACTCCAAATTTATTTGTTATCTAAAATTTAACTTTGTAATGTATTTTAAATCAAGGCGTGCGGGTGAATATGTAATTTTTACTTCTTTATATTAGAATATTTTAAAAGATTTCTTAAAAAGTGACACGGAAATATGATAAATGTATCTACAAAATTTAAAAAAGAAATCTATAATTTTTTAAATATATATATTAAATGAGCTAAGAATGGAATAAATGCATGAAAATTTGAATTTTTATAACAAATCTATTCATAATGTCTTCTTCTTCTTTCTTATCTCCACACTTGGTGAAGTAGAATGCGTCTGCCCTTTTTCATTAAGACTGGGAGCACTACTCAGTGGCAGGCCGACTTAGCTCCAAAAGAAATGGCCGCCTCTGACATGAGGAACAGCCGCCATATGCAGCCGCTCCTAACATGGAGTACAAATGCTGCTCATCCTGTATCCCTGGATTTGGAGCCCTTACAGGGCCAGCCGGGCCAGCTGAGCCCAGGTTTTTTAGTGAGCTTGTTACTGCTCCCCTCCTCCTTTTTCATCCGGGCTTGGGACCAGCAAAGGCGGAGTTCATATATATTCATAATGTAAAACTCTATAACGAAACTATACATGAAAAAACTCTCTATTAAAAAGTGTGGCAACTGTCTATACAGAAAGGGCCGCTGTCTTTAGCCAAACGACCACTATCTATAGCAAAATGGCCGCTGTTCATGCCAACTCGGCCACTGTCTATACCAACACTGCCTTTGTCTATATCTAAATATCCACTGTCTATACCAAAACGGTCACTGTATTTACAAAAATCTATTGTCTCTAGTAAAACGGCCGCTCTCTGTAAAGTAGACAATGTCATTAGGTTACATAAAAACTCTGATAAACATCAACTGACAAAATGATTTGTGTGTCAGAGGGTTCATAAATCACAGGGTATGGAGGGGGTAGCACATTTTAGGATGTGTGTGAGATACGAATATTTGGTAAACATTAAAATTGGATTTCTCTTTGATGATTCCTCTAAGTTTCGGAATATTTTGAAATCTGTGAATTTTTTTAATAATTGCTTATTTTAAAACTATGTAATTTTTTCGTCATAAATGAAAAATAAACTATGCTTTTTATTAATGTAAACATAAACACATGAACAAAAACTCAAGGAAGTTGTACCTTTAAGCATGTATATCGGGATTCAGACAATAACTGTGAACGTTTCTACAGTGACCTTTATTGAAGAAATGAGATAACCAAGTGTGAACAAAATTGCCTCTGTCTCCATAAAAAACTAAAACAAAAAGACAAACGACTGGCGATAACAGACTTTTACTTTCTTAAGTTTCATTCATTGATGTAGTTTTAATTGAAATATAAATATATAACTAAATATTTTTTGGCTTTGATTCAACATAATTTATATAATAATTATATAACAAAGGCAAATAAATCTTCTTTTATTGTAAAATATTTAAAATTGTTTCTAATTTCATAGGCATTGTATATAAAGGGCCATTTGAAACACGTTCTT